TTCCTTCTAAAATCAATTATGAGTTCTGTAGTTTTTTTGATGTTAAGTGTGAGATGATTTTGTTTACACCAAAGTATCAACCTTTGTACTTCCTTTCTATAAGCAGACTCATTGTTCTTATTTATGAGCCCCGCCACTGTGGTATCATCCGCAAATTTAATAATTGCATTGGTGTTATACAGTGGGGTGCAATCATGTGTGTACAGGGAATAGAGGAAGGGACTTAGCACACAGCCCTGGGGAGCTCCTGTACTTAGTACCAGGGTAGAAGAATGGTGAGATCCCATCCTTACTGACTGTGGCCTATCTGTCAGAAAATCCTTTATCCACATGCAGATCTCCTGAGGTAATCCCAGGTTGATCATTTTAAAAAACAAAAAGCAGTGGTAACAGCAGAAGCCAGAGGCAGATTGGACCTCTCCTGAGCAGGAGGTCTGTAAGCGCGATAGGCCTTATGGGAAGGTTGCTGATATGAGTGTTGGGCATTGAAAGGTCTGCGCCACTCGTAGCATTGGTATCGTGGTTGTTGGACAGAATAAGACCAAGCTGTCATCCGGATCTTAAGTAAATTGCCCATCACCTTATCTGTCTTCTCGTTAAACAGGCCAACCCCATCAAATGGAAGGTCTTCAATATGGGACCTAGCATCATCTGTGATTCCCGCTGAGTGCAGCCAAGCATGCCTCCTGAGTGCAATAGCCGTTGTCATGGCCTTAGATGCAGCATCACTTGTGTGATGGGATGCTAAATGCTGCTGCTTAACCAATGGTGTCACCTCCAGGTAAGCACTGAGCACAGTGGCCCTGGTCTCTTCAGGAGCAGCCTGGAGAATTGGCAAAACCTTCTTCCATAACTGTCTTTGATAAGCCCCCATAGCTGCCTGATAATTTGACACCCTCATGACAAATGAAGACAAAGAATAAAGCCGACGGCCCAGAACATCCAGCTTCCTCCCTTTCCTGTTGGTGGGTTTAACTTTTGACTGGTTTCCAGCACAAGATTGATTAGATTGTACTATGATGGAATTAGGTGCGGGATGTTTGGTGAGAAAAGCAGTGTCACTGCCATGCGTTCTGTAGTGGTTTTCAACACGCCTAGGAATCTGAAGAGACGTGGACGGTTGATTCCATGATTCTTTTATGAGGTCCAGCATAGCTGGAATGAAAGCCAAACTCAAAGTGGCAGACTTATCTTGGTTAATGTCGTCAAATATGAGGTCGTGCTTGGGAGGAGGGGTTGTTCTATATTTAGCTCCAAGGATTAAGCCATGTGAGTATGAGGTAAAGTCCTCAGATGGAGGATATAGATCAGCAACTAGATCAGCGATATCTGACTCAGGAGTTGGCAGATTTGAGGGAGATTCCCCTGAAGCTTCTGAAGGTGGGTCGTGTTCAGAGACGGATGATACGGAAGAACCTGTCACAATAGAAAGAGGTGGAGAAGACGAGAGATGATGACTTCTTGAAACATAGGCTGGAGCTCAAGGAATCGGTGCCAAAGTGTCTGTTTTAGGAAGATGAGAGGTTTGTGAAGACACGGTTTGACGAGAAGACTGGACGTGAGATGTCCTCGGTTGCGATACGGAGGACGACAGTACCGAAGGGACATGAGACCACTTTGATGGATGGGCCGCTAGCTGTGAAACGTCTTGCTGAGATGAATGATGATTAGAAGCTGGCTTGGATGGCGAGGGGTTGAGCTGATAATAAGCTCAATGTCGACGATGAGAAGGAGAGAGCGATGGAGAGGAAGAAGAGGCATAGAGTCAACACACTCTTTTGGGCCTCACATAATCGCCAGGATCATAGTAGGGATCGAGGTCAAGGTCATTCCTATGGTATCGATGCCGATCACCCCTTCGATCAACCTCCACATACAAAGGCTCCTCATATTCTGAGAACACTCAACGTCAAGATGGACGAGGAAGGACTATAACCTCCCGAATTTGAGGATACTGTTGGGCTGGACAGATGTGCTGACCCTTAGGAGGAGAAAACTGCTGGGGTGACCCCGAGTTCGACAGCTGAAGCACTGTTGCCCGCCCAATTGACATAGGGCTCGAATGGGCCGAGGCTGGGCTGGAGATGACATCAGCCTCGAAACGGTCATGAATAGGTGACAGGCCCGGCATTGATACCGAAGCCTGAGCTTGTGGTGGTGGTACTGAGTTGATCCCTTCAGAAAGGGAGTCCGGATCTGGCAACTCCTGAGACGACTCCTCAGGTATGGGAGTTGGGAGGGAGACTCGTATTGGAGGAAATTCTCTAAGTTGAGCAGATTTAGAAGATTGTTTAGACTTCTGTTTGCCAACAGCTTTCTTAGGATCTTCCACAGATGGTGACCTCGACATCGAGGCCAACGTCGATGCTGAAGACTTCTTCGGTTTAGATGTTTTCGAAGAAGACCTCAGAGATGGGGTAGCAGGGACTGAAGAAGCAGCTGCCTCAGGATGAGGAGTAGTAGTAGGAATCAAGGTAGGCTCCATGGTTGCTGGACTAAAGGGTGTGAAGGGTGTGAGTGATTTTTCCCACAGATATGAACAAAGACTCTGCAAACGGAGTGTAAGGGCTGGTTTGGTTAACTTCTTACACTCCTGAGAGGAGAGAGTTTGGTGCCTCTCTCCAAAACAAAATAAACAGGGGTCATGGCCATCCATGAAGGGGATCTTGTTGGCTCACGATGTACACCGCTTAAAGGGACCTGACAAGGCCATAAAAATGTTCAGAAACAGGGTGGGGGGGAAGGGGGGAAAGGGAAAAGGAAGACTTAATGGGAAAATTTCAACAATTGTCCAAGATCAAAGCCGAAAAATCAGAAGACTGGTTAATCACAACAAAGTCTGTAATTCAAAATCAGAATTGGCAAGCAATCCAGAGGTCAAAATAGCTGAAAAAAAACAAACAGTAGTCTGATAACCATATACCGTAGCCAGTCCAAGGTAGAAATTCTCCAGAGATTAGAAAACGATAATCAACAAACCAGAGCAGAATCAAGATAATGAGAAAAAACAGCTCTAGACATGAAAGAGTGCAATTGCAGTGGCGGAAAAAAGGAACTGAGGTATCATGGGCGGCCGGAGCATGGGCACCACGGGGAAACGTCCTACTAATCACATATTTTAAAGCTCTAGAATATTCCAAGGAGTCCTGCGCAGGTGCAGTCTAAACCCATTTGTGTGCATTCACAGAGGCCACGAAGATGAATAAAGAACTGGAAAAGCTAACAAAGTACAAAGACTTGATAATCGAAACCTCTCGCTTATGGAGGAAACACACTTCAGTGGTGCCCCTAGCCATCGAGGCTTTGGGAACAATATCAAGAAATTTCACACAGTATTATAAGCATTTGCAGATCTCAGAAACAACACCACCAGAGCTACAAAAATGGCAATATTAGAACAGCACATATACTGCATCAATATTTAACAGATATGTACAGTACTTAGGTTCTTGGTTAAAACTTGTATCTGTTATATAATAGCAGTCAGTGTTTTTATACTTTTGTATGACTGTGTCTGTTATTTTTGAATGATTATGCTGTATTAATAATAATAATAATGTCATTTCCCAGTTCTATTTTTTTGTGCTCGTTGTCCCTGTTTCCCTACTCTTTACAATATTTAGCAATGATGTGTCGTCAAGTTATCTCTGACTTACAGTGACCTTTTGCGGGGTTTTCTAGGTGTAGAGTACTCAGAAATGGTTTCAACCATGCCTTCTTGTGAGGGGTCCCGGGGACTGTGCAGCTTGCCCAGGACTACCTAGTCTGCACCTTCATCTGGAAAGCACAGTACAGACTTGAACTCCCTGGCTTTGGCAGGCAGGTGCCCAACACACTGAGTGTACAGCTCTTACTTGTATATCAGTTTGGGGCTGCACATACTCCTACTGATTCCCAGCTGCCAGCAACGCTCAGCAGCATCATGTGAAAGTCTGTTCTGACCCTAAATGTATGGAACAGCCAGCTCTCATCCCAGGCCTCTTCACTCCCTCCTGGCATTTTGATGTGCTGACATTGGGCCCACATTGAAACAAGAGAGGGAGTCAAGCACCAGCACTGTAACTCACGCGTCTTCTTGTTACTAAAGGTAGGCCTGGAAAACTCATTCTTCTTCTGCAAACCATTGTAGGCTCACGACACCACCACAAAAATCTGCCCCAGTCTCAGCTTTGGATGCCAGAATTTCACAGAACGGACTGGCTGCTGATATGCCAGCCCTCACATTATTGAGTTTGCTTGGAAGGGGGCATCGGTCACCTGATCTTTCTGGCCGAGCTGCTAAACAATCACTGATTAACCCATCATGAGGTCATGCTTCCTGATCTCCTTCAGTATAAAAGGGAATATCGTGCCCGGGGCAAAAGTAAAAGCCCAAGCTGACGGACAATGCCTCCTGCGCAAGGCCAACATGACGCCACCTTGTGTGCTGAATCACCGGCGCCCCCCTTATCCTTTGGGGACCTGCTAGAAAAGGTGGGCAGCATGGGGCCCTTCCAGCTCTTCTCAGTCATCCTCGTCTCCTTGCCCGTCTTGCTTCTTGCCAGCCACAACCTGGTGCAGAACTTCAGCGCTGCTACACCGGAGCACCAATGCCGCCTCCTGCCGCCTCCGTCAAACGCCTCCCAGAATGGGCACCTTCTCCAGTCTCTCCACCAGAACATCCAGCCTGACAGCTGCCAGCGGGTTGTCTTGCACTGGGCTCTGGACCCCAACCGCTCCTTGGATGGAGAGATGGAGACAACGCCCTGCCTTGACGGCTGGCAGTATGACAACAGCACCTTCATCTCCACCATCGTCACCGAGGTACGGACTGGGAGCCGCGGCAGGTCCCCTTTGCCCTGGCCAAACCTCCACTGGTTGGGTAGTAAATCCTTTCCCCCTTCTGTTTGTTTGCTGCTTATCTTTTGATCCCATCCTTCTTCCAAAGAGGGTGGCATCTACGTGACGCCCCACTCTTTGGTCCTCACAAGGACAAGGTGTTTTAAGTTTCTTCTGGCCGAGGAAATCCCAAGACTGCTCAGATATCTCTGTGGCTGCTTTGTCAATATTATCCCCTCTCTCTGCCACACGCAGTGGGACCTTGTATGTAAGCTGAAGCCCCTCAAGACCCTGGCACAGTCCCTTTACATGGCAGGCGTTGTGGTCGGTGCCTTCGTTCTCGGCGATCTCTCCGACAGGTAAGAACCCGGCATCATCCTATGGCTGCACAGTCCAGCTTCCTACCCAAATATAAAATATTAAAATGAAATAGTTAGTCTTTGAAGTGCGACAACATTTTGTCTTTCTGTTTATTTTTCTTCTTCTTCTTTTGCCTGATATGCTTCCCCAAAGGTCATCATCTCTCCTGGGGCTGTCATTTTGATCAACTCACCCTGTATCCTTTCCACACCCTCAAAGCCTTTCAGGTGCTGCAATTTCCAGGAAAAAAAATGTTGCTACGGTCATAAAAATGTGGTTACATAGGCTGGCCTCTTAAACATCCCTCCCTCCCTCCCTCGCCCAAAAACAGGGGACATGCATCAACTCAACCCCCCAAACACCCTCCCTGCCCCAGGCAAGCGATGGCACCAAAGTGCATTAAAATGCATGTGCTCGTTTATACTTTACGCTGAAGAAGTGGGCTGGGCCTGCGGAACTACAGGCCAAAAAAACCCCACAAACTTGCTAACCTTAAAAGACGACACAGGACTTTTGGCTGTATTATATGTATTGACACCAATTTAGAATGGCTATTGGAATAGACTCAACTCAAACGAGGAGACTGTGACCGGTGTGTCTGTTGAGTCTGGAGGATGAGCAACATCAAGGTCCCCGATCTCCCTTCTTAGAGTTACTTATCCTTAAATCAGACATCAGCTGATTTCGTTAGAGGACCTAATCAAACGGAGGGCTCACAGGACCCCTGTCATCATAAACACGGTCACATGCTGATTTAGGTCTACACACGATCTATGTAAGGATCAGGCAGGTTTTAAAAACACAGTGGCCACATCAGCAGCGGTGGGACTTTTAAGGACCCAAAAATGAAAGTAAGGCGGCGAGACTCTTGTGAGGTCACGGAGGCAGGGCAGGGTCCGAGAACAGAGCAAAAGTTGCTTTGGACCAGCCGATTGTAGAAAGGAGCACCAGGGGAATTGGGGCAAAGGGGCCTAAAGGCTGGCTAAAATCCCATTGACTATATAATGAGATAAGCTAGACCAGGGTAGGGAGTGAGTGCGAGGGAATCGCCGTTCTTGGGTAGCTAGCCTGCTGACAAAATGCAGCAATAGCTGCAGTGGTCATCTTCGCTCCCACCTGGCCTTGCTTACCCAACATCCGCCTGGCACTGCTGGAGTTTCTTCCCCCTCCCCCGGGTCCTACAGGCCTGATGGGGCTTGCAGAAAACTCACCACCTACCCGCAGAGCCCTGCTTCCTCCCAAGCCTTTGCACCTCTGCTCCCGGAGCTTAATGGGACAAGATGTCAAAACGCTGGCCCTGCGCCTTGTTCCAAATGGTGGGATTCGCACCCACGTCGGCTGCTCCCAACCCTGGATTTTTTGGTGTTGCAATGAATGCCAGGCATAGGTGGCTCATATGATGAAAACACCTCCTTGCTGATCTGTGGAGTCCTAGTGCCACCTGGAAAGGGGTAGACATGGGTTCTAATACTTAAAGCCACCTCACATACAAAATAAAATAAAAATAAATGAAAACCAAACTTTTTTTCCCCCTCTAGCACAGCTTGCCCTGGAATTTGCCTCTGCATTTGGAGACTCAAAAAGGCACAGCCATTCCCTGAAATTTCACCTGAAATTTGGCAGCCCTGTTAGGAAATAGATTTTTAGAATATATATTTTAATTGCATTGTTCCCTGAAATTTCACCTGAAATTTAGCAGCCCTGTTAGGAAATAGATTTGCGGCTGCCATTCTATGGGGCCAGTTCTAGCAATGTCTCTGCTCTTTAAAAAAAATTCAGTCCACCTACTGGCCAGGAGTGAGTTATGTTTTTGCTTGATATTTATTTATTTAAACTATTTTTATCTGTTACTTTTAAACAAGAACCCGAGGTGGCTTATGTCATTTAAAAAAAGACAATATTTGAAAGGTGAAAACAGTATGTTATTAAAATATTTTTTTTAAAAAAGGAATTAAATAAGCATCATAAATATTTTTATCTGATACTTTTAAACAAGGACCCGAGGTGGCTTATGTCATTAAAAAAAGACAATATTTGAAAGCTGAAAACAGTATGTTATTATTTTTTTAAAATATTTTTTAAAAAAGGAATTAAATAAGCATCATAATAACAACGTTTGATAAAAGCATTACTAAAACAGGTTTGAAAAAAAGAGAAAGAGCTTTAACCACTTCAATCCAGTGATGTGTATCTGCTGGACTTCACTGGTTCTCTGCAGAATCCTGTTCTGGGGGCCTGGAAAACTCTGGGTTAAGAGAGTGCAGGGTTGCAGGGGAAGTAGAAGAGAAAGACATTCCTAAATCCACAAGAGGCTGAAGTGCCCTGTTAGATCCTGCCCCTCTCCCTTTTCCATGCATCCAGCATGCTTCCCTCCCGTTGTCACCCCCACCAGGAAGCTTATAGTAGGATGGCACCACGTGCTACTTAGCAGCTCCAGCCCAACACATTTTTCTGCCTGATTTGAAGCAGCAAATCCCCCCCATAAAGCACTGTCAAGCAAGCCAAGTTGTTCTAGTGCTACATTGCACCCTTTTATGACACTCCAAACCTGCAACCGAAGAGGGCTGCCTCACTTTGCTTAATTGCCCCTAACGGTGAGCCTTTATTAGAGCACATTGGCCACAGTCCCATTGGGTTTATTCAACATAAACGCAACATTATGTGCTTGGTCATATGCAAGTCATGCACTCCATTGCACACCCAGGCATGTGAGAAACAGCCACACATTTGCAAAAGCTGATAGGACAATTTCCCTTGTTGCTGTTCTTGTGGCATCAACTTGCCTTTAACTTATGGGGACGTGGTGGCGCTGTGTGCTAAACCACAGAAGCCTGTGCTGCAGGGTCAGAAGATCAAGCAGTCGTAAGATCGAATCCACGCGACGGAGTGAGCGCCCGTCGCTTGTCCCAGCTCCCGCCAACCTAGCGATTTGAAAGCATGCAAATGCAAGTAGATAAATAGGGACCACTTCGGTGGGAAGGTAACAGTGTTCTGTGTCTAAGTCGCACTGGTCATGTGACCACGGAAGATTGTCTTCGGACAAAAACGCTGGCTCTATGGCTTGGAAATGGGGATGAGCACCGCCCCCCCAGAGTCGAACATGACTGGACAAAAAATGGTCAAGGGGAACCTTTACCTTTACCTTTATGAATGAGCAATCTCCAAAATATCCAGTCCTCAGTAGCCCTGCTCAGGTCCTGCAAGCTTGTGGCTTCCTTAATGGAGTCAATCCATCTTCCTCTTTTCCTGCTGCCTTCCACCTTACCTAGCATTATTGTCTTCTCCAGAAAATCCTGCCTCCTCATGATGTTCCCACAGCAGGACATCCTCATCAGTTTCTACATTTTTGCCTCCAGAGATAGTTTGGGCTTGATTTGATGTAGGAACCCCTCCGTTCCCCGAATTCAGTGTAACAACGTTGGCCTCTGGCAGGTTTGGACGCAGGCTGATTCTCATCTGGTCGCTGCTGCTGGTCGCCGTGACGGGCAGTGGAGCGGCCTGCTCTGACAGCTTTGCCACTTACTGCGCCCTTCGCTTCCTGAGCGGGGTGGGCATCTCCGGGTTCCTGATGAACCACGTCTGCCTCGGTGAGCACCCATCGGCCTGGGCTGGGACACAAGGATTACGCCTTGAAGAGTAGGACAAGCAATATGATGCATCTCTGTGTTTCTTTTTTTTCTTCTTCTTTGCTTTGCTTTGTTTTGCTTTGGGAAGTGGAATAGAGGAGAGACACCCTCTGCCCCTTGAAAAGATATGACGCGTCTCTGTGTTTCTTTTTTTCTTCTTCTTTGCTTTGCTTTGCTTTGCTTTGGGAAGTGGAACAGAGGAGAGACACCCTCTGCCCCTTGAAAAGCTGGGTCTAATTTTAAGAGTCCACTGTGAGCAAACAAGGCAGATCCAGTCTTCCCTTAGTGGCCTGGCAAACAATTAGTAGTGGTGGTGGTGGTGTGGGGAGAGAGAAATGGCAGGAAAGAGGAGAGGAGAGGGTGTCAGAAATGGAGGAAGAAAAATGGGTGGGAAGAAGAGAGGAAAAAAAGGGAATGAAAGAGAGAGGAAAGGAGGACAGCATGAAAGAGAAGAGAGGCAGGACAAAAACAAAGAAGTATCACCAAATGCTGCATTGGCTTTGTCCACACGTCCGTCCAATGCGATGTTCAGTTTAACCCAGCATGACATGCAGGCCCTGTGAGCGAATACATGGATAGTTGCGCCTTTACTGCTTTGAATTTGCTTTTGGCGTTGCTTTTGCTCACCATGTTTTTCGTGCGGTATTTGCTCTTTTAAATATTGATATACTTACTGCTTTTTTACCTTTAATCTTTTTCTTTTGATCATGCTTGCTAGATAGTGCAGTGGCTTAGGTATCTGATTGGGCGTTCCGTTCCTCACGGTGCCTCCCGTGAGTAGGGCAAGCCTGTAGGGGAAACAAACAAACAATTGTTACGTATCATCAAGTCAAGTTCTGACTTCTGGTTGTTATGTATCATCAAGTCAAGTTCTGACTTCTGGCCATCCTTTCTGTGGTTTTCAAGGTATAGTCATAAAATGGCTAATCAGTTGCTGGCGGTCTAACCCTGTCAGCTAGAAGAGGTGTTGACCAGCTTTCCTTGCCTGAGTTTTAGCCTTCCAGGTGGCATGCTCTAGATTTGTCCGATTGCAGTTCCCATCACCCAAATCAGCACCTTGGCTTGGATGATGGGGACCGTAACCCAACGCTTCAGGAGGGCTGTTTCCAGGTCACTATAACCCCAGTGCCTCCAATTGTGAGACAGAATATCTGGGGAATATCAGGGAAGGTATGAACAGGGGTGGCCTTTTTACCCCAAGATATTGCCACTTCTGGCTAGACTGGCTGGTGGGGGGGGCAGGTGACAATTAAGCCACAGTGAGGAAAATGGTCTGAGAAGGGCTTCTTTTTCTCCCCAAATGTCAAATGGGTACTGTACCCCACAGCCTGCAATCCTTCATTTAGAATTCTGGCCCATCTCAGCCAGGTTTGGATTGCCCTGGGCTGGCGGGAGCTCCTCTTCTGCATAAGGCCGGGCCAACCCTCCCTTTAAACAGAGTAAAGTGCAGAGATAGCGCTGTGGTCGACCATCTCAAGTTGTGCCTTCTCTTGCCTTAGGTGGCAGACACTAGAGATAGCGGTGTGGTCGACCATCTCAAGTTGTGCCTTCTGAAGCCCCTGAATATCAATAAGAATAAATGTGCCCTCAAGTCAATTCTGGCTTATGGTGAACCGTTGCAGGGTTTTCTGGGTAGAGAGGTGCTTAGAGGTGGTTCACTATTCCCTTCTCCTGGGACTGTGCAGATTGCCCACAGGCTGGGTCTTCTGGAGGGCACCATGGAGGTCTAGCTGGACATAGTCTGGGCTGACGCAGGGTCCATTTCTCTCCTTCCTCCAGGTCTTGAGTGGGTGCCCACCAAACATCGGGCAACAGTGGTATCCGCACAGAGTTACTGCGCCACAGCCGGGCAGGTGGTCCTGGCAGGCCTGGCTTACGGCATGCGTAGCTGGCGCTGGCTGCAGCTGGCCATCTCCGCCCCGTTCTTCTGCTTCTTTGCCTACTCTTGGTGAGTCTCCCATCCTGACCGCCGGTGCCCAAAGAGGAGGTGGGGACGGGTGGAACGCCAGGGAGAGAAAAGAACATACTAGCTTTAGAAATCTGCTTTTCTTCCCTTTCGGCCCCGTGCCAGGCCTGGAGAAGCTTTCCTGGTGCAGGGGCCAAATTCCCATTTGATCTTCTCAGAGGTATCAAAGTAACGAGGAAAACGGAACAACCGAGCAGCGATTTTCAAAGACGTTTGGAACTTAAATTCCTTGCTAGGTGTCTGTCGGAATCACCGAGGTGGCTCCTTGTCAACAACAAGCGTGAAGCTGCCCTGCGAAACCTGAAACTCATGGCCAGGGTCAACGGGAGGAAAGCGGCCGGAGAGGCCATGGCCCTAGAGGTAAGTCGAGCGTGCATAACGAACTGTGTCTGCCCCAGTAATGAAGCGATAAAGACCACCCTAAAAGCAGGACAGACCCCCCTCTCCCTGGAAGAGAATCCCAAGAGGCAGGCAGCTCCGTTGAGCCATGCCCACCAACCATTCCTATCAATTTTCATCTCCACTAGGAGGGGGGGCTGTTTTATAAGGCTAATGGGTCTTAATTGCCCATTCAAGACCAAGCCACCCCTGCAAAGACTTTGCAGCACAAGAGGCACAGTGGAGAACAATATGTCATTGCTGGACAACTTGATCGCCTTCCCCAACTAGTGTAAGGCTTCCAGCTACACTCAGAGGGAATGTGTATGTGTGTGTGTGATACTGTCAACGTCCCTGCTAATCAAAATGTCCCTGCACATTGATCCTGCCAACTCTGGATTTCCTACAGGAGTGGTTGGCATCATATCTCTTTAAGGACTGGACTGGCAGAATTGATTTTTTTTTTAAACAACCCTTCCAAAAGCATGCATAGAATTGGGATGCCCAGGGTGCACTGATATCAGCCTGTGTTTCCATTCCTTTCTTATGGAGCCTCATGGCAAAGTGGTTGAACACAGTGGAAACCCTGCTCACAACCTGAGTTTGATCCCAATGGGGTCAGGTAGCTGGCTTGAGGTTAACTCAACCTTCCATCCTTCCAAGGTTGGTCAATTGAGTACCAATTTGTTTTTTTTGGGGCAGGGGGGAATGGATAATTAAATTGTAAAATCATCCAGAGAGTGTGTTAAGCACTACGGAGCAGTGTATAAGTAGCACGCTTTGCTTTATGATATGTGTGAATGTGAATATGATATGCGTGAATGTGTGTGTGTTTTTTTTCCCTGCTCTAATATTCTGTTTTGTCCATTTCCCCTTAGATGTTGGAGATACAAAGAGGGAGCAGCTCTCCAGGTTCTCACTCCTGCTTAGACCTCTTCCGCACACCTGGCCTGAGAAGCATCACTGTCTGTCTCATGCTTATCAGGTACCAAAGGATTAAAGCATGCAATGTGTGTGTGTGTGTGGGGGGATGACAATGATTTGCATAAAACTGCGTATGTAAATTGATATATACAGATACAGAATTAGAAATGATTTTATTCATGTAAGTGTGTGTGGAAATGACAACAATGATTTGCATAAAACGGCGTATGTAAATTGATATATACAGATGCAGAATTAGAAATGATTTTATTCATGTAAGCAGAATGGCAGGACATCTCCTCCTCCTGGGGAAAGGCATGATCGGGTACCTTGAGAGCTAGCCAAGTCTGCTGATCAGCTGTTTAATTACAGGTGGGTGTCTTCAAGGTTCTTGATCCCCCTTCTTGAGGTCCTCGATCTTTAAGTCAGACATGGACAAGATCACCCTTTGAAAAGATGGTCCTTTTCCGAAGAGGAATGTTCTCCCTAAGCCTTGTGGCCGCCCTCACTCCATGACACTCTGTTGAGAGCCCCGAGACACATTGTGGAGCAATAAGAATGACAGATGCCAGAACTAGCTCCTGTCCATTAGACGGGCTTTGGGGCTTTTGTGCCCCTGAAGTCACTGGCAAATTAAAAGAGAAGGGAGGGCTTTGCTGTCAAAAGACCCCGGGGTTTGGGAGTAGCTAATTTTAAACAGGGACGTGGTGGCGCGGCGGGCTAAACCGCAGAAGCCTGTGCTGCAGAGTCAGAAGACCAAGCAGTCGTAAGATCAAATCCACACAACAGAGTGAGCTCCCGTCGCTGGTCCCAGCTCCCGCCAACCTAGCGGTTCGAAAGCATGCAAATGCGAGTAGATAAATAGGGACCACTTCAGTGGGAAGGTAACAGCGTTCCGTGTCTAAGTCGCACTGGCCATGTGACCACGGAAGATTGTCTTCGGACAAAATGCTGGCTCTGTGGCTTGGAAATGGGGATGAGCACCACCCCATAGAGTCGAACACGAATGGACAAAAATTGTCAAGGGGAACCTTTACCTAATTTTAAACAACAAAATCCAGGATTAGATAATCCTTTTGCTTGACTCAACTAAAAGACCATACATATGTTCCTCTTCAACAGGCTATAACTAGGGTGGGCACCAACCCCCCCCAAAAAAACCAGGGGTATCCTGTCCATTTTAGGAAAATAAATAGCAACCGCTCTTGGCCTTATTCACTCCCCAAATCCACCCCCTTCTGGAAAGCATAAACTCCCTCTTTCTTTTGGGGGGAACACCACATTCTCCTTCTCCGTTTTCTTGTGGGGCTCGCACCCATGCCTCATGGAGTGGAGTGGGTTTGAGACCATCTCCCTCTCTATGGACAAAGAGTTGCCAGTCTTCAGGGTGCAGAGAGAGGAGGGGGTGGGTGGGAGAGAACCAGCTTCACATTCCCGGAAGTAAAACCTGATACCATCATACCTCAAGCTGATGCCTCACATCTGCAGCCTCCGTCCTGGATTTTTAGTACAGCCATTCCCAACAGGGGCCACTTTGGAAGGGGGGCACAGACTAGCACCACCTTGTAAGATTCTTTATGCAATTTATACAATCCTGATTTGGCCTATATTTTAGGTTTTGAATTTTGGTCATGGCCTGTACAGCCATGCTTCTTTTTCTTTCTTTTAAACACTTCTTAATGTGCCACGTGGCGCAGTGGTTAAAACGCTGTACTGCAGCTAAAACTGTGCTCACGACCTGGGGTTCAAATCCCAGGTAGCCGGCTCAAGGTTGACTCAGCCTTCTATCCTTCCGAGGTTGGTAAAATGAGTACCCAGCCTGCTTGGGGGGGCAATGTGTATCCTGCGTAATTAAATTGTAAATCGGCCAGAGAGTGCTTGAAGCACTATGGGGTGGTATATAAGCAGCACGCTTTGCTTTTTTTTTTTTTTTGCTTTAATATTTCCTTTTTTAAAAAAACTTTTTTAAACTTACAATTAGTTTTCACCCAATAGTGAAATAGTGCTCTGTTAGGTTACAATTATCATAGAATCAGAGGATCATAGAATAATGGAGTCGGAAAGGGCCTGTCCAAACTCCTGCTTAACGCAGGAACCAAATCAAAGCAGATCTGACAGATGGTTGCTCAAAATGCATCCAGCGTTGTAGCCTTCGCCACATCTACCGCCTAGAGTGGACGAGTAGTCCAGAATAGTGAAATAGTGCTCTGTTAGGTTACAATTATCATAGAATCAGAGGATCATAGAATAATGGAGTCGGAAAGGGCCTGTCCAAACTCCTGCTTAACGCAGGAACCAAATCAAAGCAGATCTGACAGATGGTTGCTCAAAATGCATCCAGCGTTGTAGCCTTCGCCACATCTACCGCCTAGAGTGGACGAGTAGTCCAGATAAGATAG